CTCATAGGGATCCGTGGGAAAGTGTGAATGTGAGTGTCGAGGCGGATGGGTGTGGTTGTGGGTGGGTGGGTGTCAGTGCCAATGGAAAGAGAAAATACCCATACCCACACACCCACACACTCACATCAGCACCCACACCCAGTCACACCCACATCACACCCCACACCCACACCCACACCCTCGGTAGAAACTTCACAGATGCCATTATTTTTCAACAAAAAACTGTTCAATGGTGTAAAAGCAAAGTGCGAAATAATCAGAGACGTATCGAAGAGCCCCATTTGATGATCACTGCCATAACCATTCTTGAAATCTTAAGAATCGATTTTCCACTCAGAAAGTGTCTACGTGACGATGTCATTGTATCCCAAATTTTCTCATATCTGCTTTTCGTTAAACTGTTTGCTGCTTAAAGAAAAGCTATACCCCTTGATAAGCGGTAATCCTCACGTACTTGAACTAGATATCTTCCGATTCAGACCCAAACAAATAAAAAAAACCCTAAGTAGCACCGTCGGTCTATCCAAAAAAGCCAGCACATGTCAAATCATGCTTAATCCCTGTCCAAGTCCCATTATAGACGATGAAACGGGTTTAACCCCCGACACTTTCTACACATGCCATATCGACTATGTTCAAACTCAGCACGCCACCGAGGTACACGTGAAAAACGTGCTCGGATGCTTTCACGCAGGTCCGTCCACTTTTATATCGACTTTCTGCCGACAAGATTTTAGCATGCTAGTTTTGTAGCCTTCGTCGAGTTATGTACGAACTGATACTTAGTTTTGATTCAAATCGTGCACTAACTCCAGTAGAGCAGGCTAAAAGGTCGATTTTGTTGAAAATTGACCCCCAAAATCCGTCTGTTGTATTTTTCTGGAATATTCTTTAGAAATTTTGATTTTACCATTGCCTAGAGCATAGAAAGTTGCATATATAAAAAAATTTTCAAAATTATATATGTCAAGAATTCGGGTGAACTACGTTTCGTCTCACCCCTTTCCGAACATCCGGTCACATGTCCGGATGTTCAGAACTGACATCCGGTCACATGTCCGGAGTTCGGAAAGGGGTGAGACGAAACGTAAATTTCCCCAAGAATTCATTGTTTGGAAGCATTTGCAAAATTGAGAAAATGGGACTTTATGCTAAAATTGTAATGCTAATAAAATTTCTACAATCAGTTAAAGACCCTAACATATTAAGATCAAAATGAAGCTTATACTATGCTTATTCAAATGCAATTTGCAGAAGTTTTTGAAAGTTTTCATTGGTTTTAATATATGGACCCAAAGGGTCAAGGGGTCTCAAAAAACCTCACATTGGGCTTCGGTTTTTCCAAACACTACATGTCAGAATTTCTTGAAATCAGTTTCCTGAGTAGATCTTAATGAGCTCTACTAGTGATTAAAAGATGAGACTTCCCATTTCAGGATTGTAGGAGATGAAGCACTTTCAAGTTAGCCTAAATTTCAGCATTTTTCGGAAGATTCCCGTAGAGAACCCCAGGTAATTGAAAAATCGAATTCTCAAATTTTGATACAAAGCTATGCGTATATGTAGACCTCAACTAGACTAGCTTGCAGAGAGAATTTCAGAAGTTTTCAAGCAGATTTCGTAAAGGTGTGGAGGTCTCAAAAAAGATGTGTTAATCAGACTACCTTTAAAGAGGGCTTCTGTTAAAAGGTACACATATTGGCGAGCCATTGTTAAAAAGTTCCGAAATTTTCTATGCAAGCTAGTCCAGTTGTGGTCTACATATACACATAGCTTTGTATCAAAATTTGAAAATTCGATTTTTCAATTACCTGGGGTTCACTACGGGAATCTTCTGAAAAATACTGAAATTTAGGCTAACTTGAAAGTGCTTCATCTCCTACAATCCTGAAATGGGAAGTCTCATCTTTTAATCACTAGTAGAGCTCATTAAGATCTACTCAGGAAACTGATTTCAAGAAATTCTGACATGTAGTGTTTGGAAAAACCGAACCCCAATGCGAGGTTTTTTGAGACCTCTTGACCCTTTGGGTCCATATATTCATAACAATGAAAACTTTCAAAAACTTCTGCAAATTGCATTTGAATAAGCATAGTATAAGCTTCATTTTGATCCTAATATGCTAGGGTCTTTAACTGATTGTAGAAATTTTATTAGCATTACAATTTTAGCATAAAGTCCCATTTTCTCAATTTTGCAAATGCTTCCAAACAATGAATTCTTGACATATATAATTTTGAAAATTTTTTTATATATGCAACTTTCTATGCTCTATCCAGTGGTGAAATCAAAATTTCTAAAGAATATTCCCGAAAAATACAACAGACGGATTTTGAGGGTCAATTTTCAACAAAATCGACCTTTTAGCCTGCTCTACTGGAGTTAGTGCACGATTTGAATCAAAACTAAGTATCAGTTCGTACATAACTCGACGAAGGCTACAAAACTAGCATGCTAAAATCTTGTCGGCAGAAAGCCGATATAAAGGTGGGCGGACTTTCATGGAAACACCCTCTCGGGATTCCTCAGTTGTCATTTTAACAGCTACGGTCATCGGACAAAAACACCCGTTACAACGTGATAAAAAAAACTTGTTACCGCAGTCACTTGGGGAATGGAACGTGAAGCTCACGTATGGCCTCAAGCTTGATTCTACTAACACACATACGTAACTTGCAAAACCTGTAGCATATTTTAGCTGTTTTACAAGACAACTGATCACTGAAAAAAATTATGTTGCTTATTTTTTTCTCATTAGTCCTTTAAGTGTGTCATGGGGAACTGTCTGAAGTGGAGATCTCTCTATAATAAGTGGGGAGCAGGAATCTGAAAACCTAACACTTAAAACTTACACTCAGGATTTTCTTCGAAAATACCTGCGAATTTCACAATATATGTCAAAGCAATCGCCCAACAACACAAACCCTGAATCCCTAATTACCTACCAGAAAGCTATAGGATCCACCAAAAACAGGCCTTGAACCGCAAAAAGCTGAACCCTCGAAAGCCACGCGAGACTTACGAGATTCTTTTTACACTCTGTAAAACTTCAATGTACCTTAATAAATCCTAGTAAGAAACAGAAGCAGCCCGTGAGATAGCTCACGGAGCATTATAGCTACGTATCGATACTCCATTCCCTCCTCCCTTCTCCATCTGAATGGACTTCTTTGAGGACTTATGGCCACTCCTTAACCAGAGTTCATTCAAAGTAGCGGACACTACTGTGGATAGTAAAACGGAACTTATGTGTACCTCAGGATAGTTCATGAACAGTTATGGTTGTCCCCTCGGATAGCTCATGAACAGTTCTAAGTACCCGCCTATTACAGTCAATGATGAGTTATATCTTCTCAGTCATATAATTATAAACATTAAAATGTACTATTTGGATAAGACCTACTTCAATATATTACACAAACTAGACATACACAAAGCCCAAACTCAATACCCAAACCTAAACTCTCAAATGGTTTGGGTTTGAGTTTGCGTTTGGAGCATACCTAGATGTGACTCATCCTTTCAGTAGAGGGTTAGCAGCGCTTGCGCTGCGTTACTTGTATGGAAAAACGCTATTATTGCGTTTAAACGTATCGATTTTTTTATTTCCACGCATTAAGACGCGTCTTTTTGTTTGAACGATAACGCATTTAAACATTCTTTTTTTTAATTTACGAAGTGTTCTTTCAAATTCAAACGCCATCTAAAAAATACAGTTTAAAAGTGATCAGGATAGAATGAGCCTTGTCTTCACAATCTATACTGTTTAATATATCGCTCGACTGCATTCGTTTTTATATATTTGACGTGATTTTTTAGTTTTCTTTTATCGAAAAAGAACGAATAATTTTACTGACTAGGGAAGGTTCCCAAGTGATCCATCGCTTTTCAGTCGAAACTATATGCATCATGTAGGTCCTAATGAGCTATGAATATCATGAAAAGAGTTCGGACCCATAACTTGCTACTGCCGAGATATTGCATTTTTACGTTACTTTTAAGCGCAGTGGCATGATCACCTTAGGAAGATGAGAAAAACCAAGGTTGGAATTTTGACTTGAAACTTTGTATAGTGATAGATCTTAACGAGAATAGTTTATTATGGAAGTTTCAGACCTCCTGATTGCTCCTATTCTCAAATAGGAACCTTGGAATGTGTCGGTGTGTATGAGCGATGTACAAGCATGGTTTTATCATAACTGTATCTAAGACAGGAACAACCAAGACATTTGAAACTTTCACAATAAACTATTCTCGTTAAAGCCTATCACTATACAAAGTTTCAAGTCAAAATTCCAACCTTGGTTTTTCTCATCTTCCTAAGGGAATCATGGCACTGTGCTTAAAAGTAACGTAACAATACAGTATCTCGGCAGTAATAAGTTATGGACCCGAACTCTTTTCATGATATTCATAGCTCATTAGGACCTACATGATGCATATAGTTTCGACTGAAAAGCGATGGATCACTTGGAGACCTTCCTTCATTAGGCGTTAGAATACAATGTTGATAGTACGTTTTTTTCCTGGAAATAATACATTATTTCACAAAGATGTTAAATGAATATTTCAATTCATATGTTGAGTAACAATGCCATTTAAGGAAGTATAACACTTGATAATATAACCCTTTTGAGGATCAAATGTGGAACTCACATATGTTCTTGTGCTTTCTTTAATGTATCTATATAAAATACGTGAAGTGTAAAGCCTCTTAAAGACTATGGTCTTTTCAAAAGGATAATCACTAACGTAAAAAAACAGCCTACCCTATTTATTTCTGCACTTCGAATAGATTTTTTTCTTTTTCATTTTAAGATGCCAGAGTGGGCGTGAGAGACTCTTTGAGTGTCCATCTTTTATTCATTCATATCCAGACTCACATCCATAATTTTCGACATACACAAACGTGTATTGTTTCGCAGAAGAGAATATCATATTAAAAGTTCTTTTGAAAGAACAATTTCGCAGTGTACATATACATAAAATTAATATTAAAATGACATCAATATCTATTCAATTTCAATTAAATGATCAACAGCCAGTTGTAGCAAAGTTACCGACACAATTTACTCTGGATGATTTCAAGAGAGCCGCTGATAATGTTTATAATAATGCAAGCTTCCTTTATTCTTTTGTATGTCATGGAAAAGAATTTGATTTAAATAATGAAGACGAATTCAATAAGAATAAAGCATTAATTACCTCTGAAACAACGATTTTTACAATAGAACACGTGAAAGCATGTTTTTTACCGGATACACTTGTTCAACGTGCCGATCGAAGTGAAATACGTATTAGTGATGTTCAATTAGGTGATGTTTTACTAGCATTTACTACTTTTGGTGAGATTGTTACTACGGTTGTTGAGGACTTGCTTAAGCATGAGGTCGATGAATATATGGAAGTACTATTAGGACAAAATCGACTGCATGTAACACGCGAACATCCATTTTTTGTTGGAAATGGTAATTTTTGTTCGCTTGACAAGTTACGTGGTTCTGATTGTGTCTATAGTTTGATCGATGGTAACCTTCAATCAACAATGATTACGAGTATAAAGACTATTAAGGCGCCGACAACATATGTCTATAATTTACACACTGCTCAGCCACATACCTATTTTGCTAACAAAATTGCTGTTCACAATAAGCTTGGCAAAAAATTTGTAGACCTACGTAAGAATAACGGTCTTAAGCGAATCGAATGGAGTTCCAGTGCGCCTGATTGGCGCATCGCACGACCTGGCATTTGTATTGAAGGCAAATGTATTAATAAATCTTGTGTGGCACATCAACAACTTGTGATTATTAATATTGGAATAAAAGAATTTAATCTTCTCACTGATTATGAAATATCAAAATGTCCTGAATGTTTAACGTATGTGGAGCCCATAACGTGTGCTTTTAATAATTGTGTTTGGCGATGGGAAGGTTTAATACAGTCTGGAGGTGGCACAGAGCCGAGTAAGGTTTCAGGCGATTGGAAGTATGCAGACGATGCTTACCATCGTTTCGAAGAAAATGTAAATGAAGAAGTCACGTGGCTACGATTAATCCTTTATGCAAAAGCCAAATAAAGCATTATTATCTCTTATTGACTTTATTCGAGAATTTGATGAACAAGTACTACTTCTTTTAGTGAACTGAATTATTGATAAGTTCAATATAATTCTTATAATACAACCGATCAGAGTACATTTTAAAATGTGATTAAGAGGTTTTTCAGCGATCACTCGATGCATTGTAATTGTCATCTATCTTTTTACGAGCTCTCTTCATGGAGTGGACGATGATGAGTCGATACTAAAATCTTAAATATGAGTTATATAATTATTTTAAGAAACGGTATACCGATATGAAAAATTTTCGAAACAGTCCGAAAATCAATTATTTTCAGACGTTACATATATACATTTAGACTTCGCACTCCTTCTTTACATCCTATAATTTTTGAAAAATAATAGTGCAGTTTTTCTGTATGGGCTCCGTACCGACCCTTACCCCAACCCCACTCTCACCCTTTTGAAAAAACTATTCTAGAAGCAAAAGCGAAAGAAGTATGTATAATCGAAGCACTTTTTTGTTGCTTGTTGAGATGGATATCGTCAAGGGGGAAAAAGCGATTTATGATTTATTGATTTAAAATGAGTTTAAGTGATTTTTTTGATTTAATTGAGTTTAGGTGATTTTTTTGATTTAAAATGAGTTTAACTGATTTTTTTGATTTAATTGAGTTTAAGTGATTTTTTTGATTTAAAATGAGTTTAGCTGATTTTTTTGACTCGAAACTAACTTAAAATGATTTAAAAATCACATAAATCAGGCGTCGCGAAACGATTTTACAGGAATATAGGACTACTATTTTCTGTGCAGATCTTAAGAGGTTATATTGAATGATGATAGTCGTTTGTTATTCAACTAGTTTACCACGCCAATGGTGCCATAATCAGTCCATTAGCTCACGTAGAAAATGTAACACTTCATGGACT